CATCCCAGAATGATAATGTGCATCCAAGAGGAAATGTGGGGTAATAAAGGACCTGAAGGCAGGGTGATTTGGGTTCAAATATGCTTCTTAGACACTTTCCAGCTGTGTGACCATAAGCAGATCACTTAACTCTTCTGACAGCCAATTTCCTCACCTTTAAAATGGAGATAATAATTGAGTGCTTATTTCACAAACTTACTATGAGGCTCAGATATGATAGACAAAAAATTGGAAAAATGATGAATTTCCATATGTGCATAAAAACACGCACACACACACATATACACATATACAGAGAGAGAGAGAGAGAGAGAGAGAGAGAGAGAGAGAGAGAGAGAGAGAGAGAGAGAACACTTATTATAATCAAAGTTTTGAAAAGTGTCCTCTATTTCTCTGTTGGCATTTAGGTGGCACAGTGGATAGAGATCTGCTTTTGAAGTGAAGAAGATCTGAGTTCAAATATGACCTCAGATACCAGTTGTATGTGTCTGGGCAAGTCACTAAACTTCTCTTATTCTCTGTACTCATCTGTTAAATAGGTATAATAATAGCACCTACTTCATGAGGTTGTTGTGAAATGGAATAATATTTGTAAAGCATTTATCACAGTGCCTGGCATATATAAGATGTGTAACGAATGCTTATTCCATCCCCCTTCCCTATTAGCACCTCCTAGACAGAGTCGTTGTGAGAATCAAATGCAATAACATATGTAAAGCACTTTGCAAACCTGACAGTGAATGCCCTATAAATAGTAGTTTTTATAACTGGTGCCTACTTAAAGTCTAAATGTTCCCATACGTCTCTATGCTTGCTATTTTTTTTTTTTTAGAATTTTGCCCAAATACTCCAATTAGTTCTTGGCTGGTTTAGGGGAAAATTAGGAAATGAAGATGTATGGTTAGATTATAAGTCATCTGAAAAAAAAATCTTAGGGTCTTAGTAGTCTACAAGCTTAAGAAGAATTAACAGTGACTATGTTGATTGGTTCAGCTTAACTGCCATTCTTTTCTGTAAGGGAGGGATGGGAGCAAGGATGAAGAGGGGTATTATTAGGAAATGACAATGCCATACCAAACAAAAAGTATCAGTAGAACTCTTCTTAAAATAAAAAATGCATTTTGAGTATGTCTGTTTGGTTTAAACAAGCTATACATAATAGAAACTCACAGTTTGCACATGCAATTTTTTTTCCTTTTTATATATTGAATATTTATATTTGTTAAGTTCATAATACAAGAAAACTTTATAAAATCTAAAAAAAAAGAATTAGCAGTGAGACAAAATAGAAAAAAAAATCAGTGCAATGGAATATGACATTAAAAAAGTTGTGGTGTCCAGAATGAATGAGGTCTTGGTACTGTGCCCTAGTTAGACCACTGTGGGTATTGTGTTCAGTTTGGGGTATCGTATTTTGAGAAGCACTTTTATAAACTGGAGGGTATCTGGAAGAGGGTAACCTAAGATGGTAAAGAGCTTCCAGAAAATGCCATAGAGAAGTGAGTTGAAAGAAATAGGGCTTTTTAATTGGGAGAAGAAAAATCTTATCAGGGACCTGAAAGGTTGTTATACAGAAGAAAAATTAGATGTGTTCTTTTGAGTACCAGAGGACAAAACTTGGAACAGTGGCTGGAGGTCTGTGAGAGACAGATTTTCAGCTCCATGCAAAGAAAAGAAATAAGAATTAGAACTATCTAAAAGTGACATGGAATCCCTGGAAAGATGATAGGTGGTGGGTTTTTGTGCACTGGAGATCATCAAGCAAATGGCCACATGTCAGAGCTGTTGTAGAGGACAAGGAAAAAAAGAAGGAAATGAGCGTTATTAAGCATCTTCTATGTACTGGGCACTCTACGAAGCACTTTATAATTATTATCTCACTTGGTACTGGGCACTCTACTAAGCACTTTACAAATATTATCTCATTTGGTCGTTATAAGAATCCTGTGAGGTAAGTGCTATTACTATCCCCATTTTACAGTTGAGGAAACTGAGGCAAACAGAGATTAAGTGGCTTGCTGCAGTTCAAGCAGCTAGTAAGTGTCTGAAGTTGGATTTGAACTTAGATCTTCTTAACTCCAGGCTCAGTGATCTATCCACTGTACCACCTAGTTGGTACCACCTTAAGTTTGGGCTTGACAACATAACATTTGAGGTCCTAGCCTACTTTGATATTATTTTCCTTCCTAATGCTTAAATAGCTTTTTCTGTTGTATCTTGGGAATCTAATTACTATCGGATTTTTTTCCTATAGAAAAATTTGCCATAGATCCTGCATAAACAGCTTAATGTAGAAGTTTAGAATGAGTCTGACTGTACAGCATGGTGGCACATACCTGTAGTGTCTGCTGCTAGGAAGGTTGAAGCTGGTGGATTGCTTGAGCTCAAGTGTTCTGAGTTCCAGTAGGGCTAAAGCCCATTGAGTGTCTACACTAAGTCTAGTACCAAGATGATGAGCCTGTAGGAGAAGAGGACCACCAGATTGCCTAAGAAGGGGTCAGAAAAATAGAGCAGGTCAAAATTTCCGTGTGGAAGAATATGAGGATAGATCAGGTAAGATAGGGAGAACCAGTCTCATAACAAAAAAAAAAATTCAAATCAAAAAAAAATTCAAGGGAAAGGAACCACAGCCTACTTATAAGTTGGGGAATTACTTGAACATCATGTAAAAAGAGGGTGCATTGTTCGTATTAGTGAAAGCACCTCCCTTAGGCTTACTTCTGTTACAGCTGGTGGAAGCTCCGGTGAAAAGTAAGCACTCCCTTCTGCCTCTTAAAACCACTTATTTAATTTAAAACTGAGTCCAGGGCCAGTTTCTACTTGAAACCTTTCCTGATCTGATTGGCTGATAAGTGCCTCTCTTCGTTCCCTTTCCCCTCTTCCCCCTTTATATTTTTTAATAAAACTTATTTATGTTCATGTTTTCTCAACGGAAAGAAAGTAAATTTCTCAAGGCAAAGGCTATTTCATGTTTTTGTGTCCCCAGCACTTAGCATGATGCCTGGCCCATAATTGATGTTTGATGTTTAATGAGTGTTTGTGGATTGACTAAAAGTATCCTGAGCTTGAATTTGAAAGATATGAATTGTTTCTGATTTCTCTCTATCTTTCTTGGAACAGTACAGCTATTTAACAGGCCTTGGTATCTGAGCCAGTACCGAGCACTGAAACACTGTCTCTGTACACACACACACACACACACACACACACACACACACACACACATATGTATATCCCATTTCTTGTCTCCATGCCTGTTGGTACTGAACTTTGAAAGTTCCATCTCTTACAAAAAACTGTTCTTTATCTCCTGAATTGTTAGTTCTTTCTCCATCCCCAAATTATTTTTATTTACTTATCTTTTTGCATGTTTTATTTCCCAGTAGAATGTAAGCTCCTTGAGAACAGATTCTGGTTTTCATTTTTCTCTTTATATTGTTGGCATCTAGCAGAGAACCTGCTTCATAGTTCAATAACTTCATAAATGTTTATTGAAATCGTTATACTTACTCATCTTCAGCCAGATTTTCAACTACTTCATTTTAATGTGATGAAATTTTTTTTGTAATGAAATATTTTTGTTTGCCTTTTTGAATCCATTGCACTGTTATGTCATCTAATATTCCTGATATTACTGCTTTTTCTTCTCAGTGAAGGCAGAAACAATCAGTCTTTCTCTGAATAGCAGTCTTCCAATATTTGCAAGACAAGTCTTGAATCACACCCTATTGAAATTCCTCTAATATCCAAAGGTTCCTTTTTGTGACTTCTTCCGCACATTTTAAATGGCACCGTGGTGTAGTGCATAGAGAACTGGCTTTGGGATCAGGCGGATCTGTGTTCATATCTTGTCTCTGACACATGCTGTGTAAAGAAGGGAAAGCCATTAAGCCATCAGTGCTCCAGATAATTTCATAAGACTTCAGTTATAGATGAGTTAACCATCTACATCTAAGGATGGAGTTTCCATACTGAGAATTCCTTATACCAATGAAACCACAGGTGCAGAATATGACCCTTCCCCTCCCACCTCCAACCCTTGGCCAGAAAGAGAAGAAAATATTTTATGATATTCTTCTGAATTCTCTATAGGTCTTACATAGCAAGATCACTGTTCAGTATGGTGGAAGATAATGTCAGAATGCCGAGAACAGAATCAAATGATCAAAACATCATAGACTTAGAATGGGAAAAGATGTTAGAGGCCATTCAGTACAGTGAATGAATGAAAAAGTAAAATATTTATTCAACAATTAAATATGTGCCAAGTGCTTCTATGTTAAACACCGTGTAAGCAAATACAAAAGAAAAACCAGTCTCTGACCTCAAGAAGTTTACTTTCTAATTAGGAAAGAAAACACATGTATTGGGAAGGGGTGGGCAAGGAGGAGATATTTTTGTTTGGAAAATTGTGGGGATGTCAACTGGAGTCATAAGGAAATAGAATGGCACACTCTTTCCAGGAACAATAACAAGAACTTATTTGATTCGGTTGTTGAATTGGAAGAGATGAGAGGGACAAGGGTGCCAGCTACCATGCTAAAAAATCCAGGGATTGAAGTGAAGCATAGCTGAAGGCCTGGTCTAAATATAGGGCAGCTGCTGAGGCATCCCCTATTCAGGACAGCTCCCTCATTTAACAGATGGGAAACTGAGGCCCAAATATGTTAAGAAACTTGTCTAGAGTTATCCATCCAGAATAACTGAGGTGCAAAACCGTGTCTGGGGCTGAGAGAGGGGACATCATTTCCTCAAGGTCCCCTGAGCAAGCCAAATGGCAGAGCCAGAATTAGAATGACGATTTTATGCTAATTTCATGTCCAACTCTCCATGATTCAATAGACTTTGATCCTCCAGCCTCTATCTTTATATCCTGAAGATTGGGCACTCCTCCCCCCCCACTCCCACCACCTATCTCTATCCTTACCTTGAAATCTAGGACTTTTCTCTTCTATTAACATGTAAACAAGTGTTTTATTTGTGTTCTTTTGGTAATACAGAAACCTTGATTGAGAATGTCCTGAAGGACCTGAGGAAGCCACAGGGAAATGTGGACAATCTGAGTCCCCTGGAGCTGGAAAAGATAGCTGATGTGATCACAGATGCCATGCAAAGTTCAAATACAGAAGAAGTGCCAGGAATCGTGGGAGCTGAGGCTGAAGGAGAAGAAAGGGAACAAGAAATGAAAGGGATCAGCAGTCCACAATCAAACGACTACCAGCATGGCTTGATGGTTGAAGATAATTTACAAGGTGAGACACCTTGCTTCTTGGATTGCCTCATGAAATAAAACCCCATCCATGGTCAATTAGATTTTGTATACAGTTTCGGGGTGGGGGTGGGGATGGAGTTAAGGTGCTGCTGAGAGATATAAGGGTTATCTGAAACCTGAGATATGATTTCTACTGGGGAGACAGGGAGTTGTGGTAATGATTTTTATCCATTTGAACTTTGCTGCTACAAGCTCTCTGAACAGGCTAAATCTACCCAGCCAATTATGTTGAAAGGCGAATTACTGTCTCTGAGGATGTATAATTCCTCGGTGCACAGAATGAGGTTTAAAGAAAAATAATAATAGCAAGTGTTGTGGATTCTGAAGGTGGATGTTTTCATATATGGGAATAATAAAATGAAAAAAGAAATTACTTGAGCCTTGGTCTTACACTATTGCTCCATGAAGAAGTCAAAGATCATTCCCCAGACAATGGCATTCCACTTGACTGAGAAAGGTCAAATGAGATTTTCCTGGCCTTCTTTTTTCAGGACTGAGCTTCCTGATAAGCTGGTTATTACTTAGATTTATTGAGGATTGGTATATTTTTCCACCATTGTCTCCTTGACATCTTCTTTGATGAGGGTAAGGGTCTGATGAGCATCCATGGGCCTGCCTAGTTGATAAAACCTGGCTTGGCTTCAGAGAGAAAATATTTTCATTATTGGCAAAGTCAGCTCCACATTGGCATAAATTTCCATTGATCAACAAATGCTGAATGAATACCTGTAGTCTAAATGATGAGTGATACAAAAGAACTCACAAGATACGGTCCTATTCTCAAATAGCATACAGTCAGCCTTGAAGAGTTTTGTTGTCGTTCAGTCATTTTTTAATCATCTCTGATCTTCCTGACCCCATTTGGGTTTGTTTGTTCGTTTGTTTGTTGTGACAAAGACACTAAAGTGGTTTGCCATTTCTGTCTCCAGCTCATTTTACAGATGAGGAAATGGAAACGAGCAGGGTTAAGTGACTTGCCCAGGGTCACACCATTAGTCTGATGCTGGATTTGAGATCAGGAAGAGAAGTTTTCCTGGCCCTGGGCCTGGCATTTTATCCACTGTGCCACCTAGCTGCCCTCTGCACTTGAAGAGTTAGCACTGTTCTTTTCACCTCTTGGTCATTCATTAAACATCTGTATGCTATTTTTGGTGTTTAAGTAGAGAGAAAATATGGAGTTTTCTCACCACTGTAACAGCTCATAATCATTTAATTATTTTATTACTCTGATGTTAACAGGAACATCAATTAAAACAAGCCTCTCTGTACATAGTAGAAAAACAACAACAGCAAAAAATTATGTATGGGATTTCAAATCTCCATTATGTACAGCTTGCTTTTTAAAAAAAGTATGTAATAATTTCAACAAGTAATTTTAAAGCTGTCTGTCCGAAAGCTTTTAATTCTGAAGAGTCAGTTTAACAGTGCTGTATGTTTGTGCTTGGGGCTTCATTTTATTATTGCATAAATATGAACGACTTCCAGGCACTCTGGGTTTCTTGTTGGTTTGGGCAAGAGGAGTTAAGATACTGAGTGGGGCAATGATGTATGACTGAACTGAATGTACATCCCTCAACTTCTATCCCACTTGAATGCATAAGGACACTATTTCCTGCATTCCAAGTGGATTTAGTTTATCTTTTTAATTAGAACAGTTCATTGCCAATCTACACTGTAAGGGAGTATGCTGTATGATTATCTGATTTAAATATGATATGACACATTGCAGTGATACGAGAATGATGAGAATGTTGATAAGAAATTCATATCTTTTGCAGGTAACAGATTGCAGGAAAGTGATGATGGAGTTGATGAGAAGGTAAAATCTCTCTCTTTTTTTTTCAATGCAATATTACATGTCATAGGGAGGTTTATTAATCCTGGGTTATGGCTGCAAATGATATAACAATTCTCCTCAGAAGCAAATTGGTAGAACAAATTAATGTTGCAGTTATCAGTTCATAAAACCACGGAGGAAACTCATTTTAAAAACAGGTGACCAGTAAAAAGAATGCATCGTTTACACAGAACTGGTGTTGGCTTTGGAATCTGTGCAGGACTTTATGAGTTGAAGTCGATTCAGAACATAATGCATTCATTTTTTTTTCCTTTTGCTTTTGATATTCTCAAGAAGGCAGTTCAACATTTTTTCCCTTGAGGGAAATCTTTAGCAGCTGTATTTGGCCAGATAATAGAAAATGTTTTGTCTTTATCTGAGGGAAGTATTGCTATGAGTTAGCATATGCTAAATAAACTGAAATATTATAAAAGGTAAGGACATGTGATAGACACATTGGATGAGTTCTAAAAACATGTCTGAAGTGTTGGTTTAAATTTTAAATATATGTAATGTGGTACCTTAAATGTTATATGTTGGCTCCACCCTGGATCCTAATTTGGGCAAGTGTTTATATCAGGATCATCCTTCTGCTTAATTGTCCAAACAATCTGAAAATCCATTATTTGTATTGTATTTTTCTCTAGTGTTACACAATAAATGTGATGTAGCACATATAAACCAAAACCTAGTGTTTCACTTATATTATAGGAAATGTGTTATCATGTTAAAAAATAATATAAAATAAGTGATATACTGAGTTAATTTTTTTTCTTCAAATGAGTCAAAATGGTAGCCAGCCCTGTGACCTGTGGTATCATCATATACCAGTAGGCCAATCAAAGTCTTTTGTTCTCCAATATAAAGAGAACTAGTTTTAGAGTCAGAAGAACTGAGTTCCAATTCACTAACTGTTTGACTTGATAAGTTACTTGGTTTTCCTGGGCTTCAATTCCTCATCTATGAAATGAATGGATTGGGTTAGATGACCTTTGAGGGCATTCTGAACTCCAGCTCTCTGATCCTATGTATTCAAGCTATTAATAAAATTTCCTCTAATCTTCCTTGAGGAAACTAAGATTATAGACTCAGCTAAAAGGGACCTTAGAGTCCAGGATGTAGAAGCTTATGCCTAGAGAGGTTTAGGGATTTGTCCAAGGTCAAACAGTAAGTTGCCATGGTAGATCCAAATTCTCTAACTTCAAATCCAACATTATGTGTTATTCTGACTGCTGTCATTAGCCAGGTGGTGGGGTCATCAGAGCTGGAGTTAAAGATGGACAGTTATTTAATCAAAACAGCTATACATATCCTTTGGATCGACTTTTATCTCCCTCCTGATGTTTTCTTTAGCCTCTAGATTAAGATGCTAAGGGAGCCTCTGTTTCCTCATCTCAACAATGGAGATAATAATAACACTTACCTTTCAGGGTTATTGTAGGATAAAATGAGATATTTATTGTGACATTATTATTGTAAGGATAAAATGGGATGCTATTTATAAAGCTCTTTGTTAATTTTAAAGCATTCTCCAAATGCTAACTCTTACTATTGTTATTTTAATTACATCTCCTTTCTGTTTGTATTTTCATTCCTAGTTAATTCCAAAGAAAAGATGTTATTACAAGTTTCCTTGGCCACAGTGGCCTGTTCTCCTTCAGGAACTTGCTTTACAATTGGATTTTCCTTCATTTCTACAGGTAAAAGGTTTGGATACCCAATTGGTGGTCCTTGAGAATGAGCAGGAGACTCAACACCTGCCTGAAGGACCTTCTTCTGAAAAGCCCTTTAAAACAGAGACCAAGAAATCAGAAGATATTGAATCTTCCTTTTCCTCTGAAGAGGAGAATGCTGGGGTTGAAAATGTGAAAAGTGAGACCTATTCCCAAGAACTGACAGCAGAGAAGACACCAAATGCTGACCCTGATGTCAATGAATTTGTGGAGTTTCAGGACTGGATGCAGGGTACTCTGAAACAAGATGAAAAGCTCTCTGAAGGACCTCCCAAAATTCCTGGGGAAGGCTTACAATTAGAAGTGAAGTCTTCTGATGAGGAAGAATATGGCTACATTGTGACTGAAAAAGAGTAAGTAGAAAACTCCAAATTACATATATGTGTGTTTATGTATAGACATATACCTATATATATATACATATATACCTATGTGTGTATACATACATATATGCAGGTATATGTATTACATAATCTATAGTAAGAATGCATTATGACACATTTTGGGATTGTTATGTGAAGATATTTCAGCTGTTTCTTTGGAGTAGAGTTTAAGGAACTCAAGTCATTTCACTTCAGCAAGTATTTATTTTTTAAGAATCCATTGCTTGGTAGGCACTGTGCTAATTGCTGAGGATAAAAAAACCCACTGATAAATGGTCTCCAACCATCAAAAACTCATATTCTGAGAGGCAGGGTTAAGAGAAGAGCAATATTTACACAGATAAGTAAATTCAAAATATATACAGGATAATTTCAAATAATTGGTAGAGTGTGTTGGTTTTAGTCGGTGACCTAAGGAGGAAACAAATGCCAACAAGCAGTGAGATCAGGAAAGGCCTCCTGTAGGAGGTGGTGTTTAGACCTCAGCTTGAAGGGAGTTAAGGGTTACACAAAGAAGAGGTGGGGAGGAAAGAGCATTCTAAGGACAGGGGACAGCCTCTGAAAGGCACCTGGGTCAGAAATGGAAGTTGTTTATGGGGAACAAGTCAGAAGAGTTTGTCTGGAGTATGCGAAAGAGTAATGTGAACTCAGATTGGAAAAATAGATGGGAATGAGACTGCTAAGAATTTTAAATAGCAAAGAGGGGAGTTATTTTATCCCAGAGGCAAGAGGGAGCCCCTGAAGCTTCTGGAGCAGAAGAATGACACCATCCGAACCATGTTTTAGGGTTATCGATTTCACAGCTGTGTGGAGAATATATTGGAGGAGGGAGAGACCAGAGACAGGGAGGTCCCTTGTGAGGCTTTTGCAGTAATCCAGGCCAGAGGCAAAGTAGGTGTAAACTAGGGTGGAAGCTGAGAGAAGGGAACAAATTCAAGAGATCATTTCCTTTTGCCTAGAATCAAAAAACATAGAATGTTAGAATTGGAAGACTCTCTAAAGATCACAGAGTCCAATCCTCTCATTTTCAGAGGAGAAGATTACAGTAAGAGAGATTTAGCCACAACCCAAGGTCCCAGAGCTACTGAGTGGCAAAGCCCTGCTGTGAAGTCCCACATCTGAGATCCTTGAACAAGACATTTTGTCCTGCCCTCTCATGTCAGTGATGTTTCACTTCTTGGGCTTCCATCCTGCTGTTCTGGCCACCTCCAGGGCACTGTCCCCTTGATGCTCCACAATATGAAGTTTGTTTGGATAGTAGCTATCATACCTATGTTTCAGGTGGGGGAAAAGTAATAGAGACTGAAGCTAGCACAGTAGGAATGTTAATATTCAAGATGATACAGTTTCTGTTTCTGAATTCAACACTAGCTTTTGTCTTGCTGGAAGTTTGCTTCAGGTAGAATGGAAATGGAAAACTTCATTATTCTGTTAGGGCTAGCCTCTGGGTTCCTTTTGACTGAACTCGCTAGAGTTCTGGTGTGTGATGTTCTAATAACGTATGCTATATACTAGTTTCTTTCCCTCCATTAGAAGACGACAAGCTTTAAATATTTGACATCAAAGTATCCCAAATAGCAGGATGTGAGTCATGCACCAGGGGACAAAAGATTCACAGTAACAAAGTGTTCCTTCCTCTGTCTCATTTTGATCTGAAAGTAACATGAATAGGAATCCAAACACCATGTACCCAACAAGCTAGAAGCAGTGGACCCCATTTTTGCAGGTTATATCACTAATGAATCTGACATTTGATGCTATACTTTATTTTTAAAAAATATGCTATTTCCCTCCAAGCAACCAAAGCAGTATTTCAAAGTAAAAAAAATACATTCAGTAGTTCAGATATTCTTTTTTTTTTCTTTCCCTTTAGAAAGTAGACTGAACTTTGGTTAAGGTTGATCATCATATTGGCATTAGGGTAGATAAAAAGGGATGCATAAGTCATTGACTTTTCATTGGTTTTCAGAAATGAGGAAAAAGGTTTATGTGAAATCTGAATTTGTCTTTCTGGCAATGATAATTCCAAACATTTTTTTTCTCTTCTCATTATTCCAAACAAGAGTTTAAATCTATCAGCATGTGTTAGTTCTTGCCACATCGCAGCTATCAGTAATATCATTAGTAGAGAAAACAGTTCCATATTAGAACTGAACAGAATATTTGTTGTGGTTCAGGTTTGTACTACATGATGAGATGACAACTTTTGCCTGAATGTAGATAGGCTTGAAATTCAAGACTATTTTTAGTTTTTGTTGATTGTATTTTAGGAATAAGTTCTAATGGTTGAAATGTTCAATCTTATATTAGAAAACACATTAACTTATTTTTCCCAACAGGATCTTTCATCAAGCCAGTTCTGTTTTCTTTTTTGTTCAAAATACATATGTTTGTTTGGTCATTTGTCCCTGTCCTTGTGGTCTTTATTACAGAAGTGTCATGCAGTTCAATTCTATTCAATACAAGTATTTATTAAGCATCTATCATGTTCCTGGCACTGTTAGACACTAGGTACATGAAACAAGAAACTAATTATTCCCTTTCCTCAGGGAGCTTACATTCTATGGTGGGAACAAAACATATACATGTGTAAGGCAATATACAACATATGCATAAAATGCAAAGTAGTTTTTTTAGGGTGACAGAAGCAATTCATGGAAAAGTTCCTGACAAGAAATAGCTCTTGATTTGACCCTTGAAGGAAGCTAGGGCATCCATAAGGAAGAGATGAATAAGAAGGGCATTCTAGGCATGGAATGTGGCTAATACAGGCACCTTGCCTTTCATTTTCATTTGACAATAGCTGAGTCAGGTGAATACTTAATAAGCTGCTAATGACTGTTATGAACTATTAACACAGAGGTAGGTGCTCTTGTGATAATCAGTATGGAATATCATTGTATTCATTTTAAACATCACTCTATTGCTTTTTATAAAGAAAAGTGTGGAAAACAGATCTGTCTGCCTCTTGAAAATGACACTCTACACTTCTTATTGATTTGATTAATTTTGTTTTTATCGTCTAGCTGTTGTGATAGTGATAGAGCTTCTGTTTTGCAGCTACAACCTGTAGTGACTGGGCTAAGAAGCCTTCTGTATTCATATTCCAGGGTTTGAAGCTTGTTACTTTCTGCCTTTCTATGTTCCTAGAAAGATTGTACTCAGTGGTATAGTTGACAGATGTCAGGGGTGATTCATTCACTATATTAGAATCTCCAGCTGCCCAGGTTTTGCGTATGTGGCTTGAGATGGCTAGAACTGCAGGCTTTGTGGCTGAGATGCTGGGTTTTAATTGTGGCTCAAAGTAGAGATGAACATCTCCATGTAAATCTTAATGAAACAGATTTCTGATCGTTTTAAAGACATGTCAAAATGGCAGCTGACTTGTCAACAAGGAGAACAATAGATGACTCCTGCTGTTTGTCTAGTGACCTTTCAGAAGCTTAGAGCAAGGCAATCCATACCAATCCATACCATACATCAGGGCTAATCTCCCTAGTGAAATGACAGTTTCAGTGGAGGCGTTGTCTAAGAAAGCCTCTAAGGTGCTGCCTCAGCACTTTCTGATGGAGAGAAGCCTGTCGAAATGGACCATTTCTTGCTGGCTGCTGGTGACTTTCCAGTAGAAATTGAAGTTGTTATTAGGATGAGGATTTCAGCATGTTCCTCTGTTCCCACAGAGGAAATGGACCTTAGACCTGCATATTTTACATTTAAAATATGATTTAGAGTCAGTCAGCAAGCCATCATTTAGATTACATTGGTTTACTTCTGCTTGTTTCTCCTTTGCCTTTTCATTTGTTTGCTAGATTCACAGTGAAGAGAATATAAGCTTTACTTCCACCATTCTTCTGGCAAAGGATGTGCTGCAGCTGATGTCTTCCCATCAATGACGACTAGAGAGTGTTGCCTTTATGGACAGATTGCTTGGCAGTTAACAAATTCAAATTTTCAGTTGGGCAAGAGAGACCCAGAGCTCAATTTAAAATTATGTGGATCTAGTAATGGATTGTTTTAATAATTTGGGGTGGGGGAGAGTTGTGGATAGAAGTGATTAGGAAATGTCTCTAAGAATGAAAGGTCATCTGGTCCTTCAAACAGAAAAATAATCAGGACCATAATTATTTAATGTAATATAATAATAATCATAACAATAATAGTAATAATAATATCTAACATTTATGTAGTACTTATTATGTGCCAAGAATTATGCTAAATGCTTTACAATTATTATCTCATTTAATTTTCACAACCCCCCCAGAAGGTAGTTGCTGCCATTATCCCTGTTTTACTTATTTGCATATTTAGTGATTACAGCCAGAGTCACTAACAAAGCGGTTCTAAACCTGGAATCTAAGGATTGATTACAAGGGGAGCATATATGGGAAAATAGATTACATCTTTGTTTTCGCTAGCCTCTAACTAAACTGTAGCACTTTCTTCAGCTATTAGTTTAAAAAAAAAAGTTCTGAAAAGGGGTTCATAGGTTTTACCAGCCTACCAAAGGGATCTATGACACATAAAAGATTAAAGACATCAGACCTAGACTGGCCTTAGAATAAATTGTGACCTGGTCACTGGCATGTTCTGTATTGTTCCCATTGAAATTCATTGGGCAGAAGAATGTGTCTCATTTTTGCCGGAGCATCATTTTGCTTTTTACATATTCTGATATGATAGGATATGACTTAATGGCTTGCTGTTTGGCTTAATGATTTGTCATTTTCACTTTTGTCCTCTTTATGAACTGGAAGGTTTAGTCAAGACTGGGTAAAGAGCAGGCCTTGTGCTCCAAGAAGGAATATTTTATCAACCTATGTTTGAACCATCTAATCTCAGGGTGAGAGGAAGGGATCACAGGGTAGAAATGTGTTTTGAAGCTTAGAAGAAAACAAACAAAGCCCTCCTTTCTTCTTAGCAAAAAAGAAACTGACTTTTAACTGGATTCAATAAATCCTCCAAAGGGCTAT